TCGAGCAGTGTCCTTGTGGCAATGAAGGGTGTCGTTCTGGCGACCACGCTGATCACTGACGATATCTCCAAGTACGAAAACAACCCCGACAATAACCTCGGTGCGCTCTCTGAGCAGCAGATCGAGGACCTGCAGACTCTCAAGGTCAGCACGTCCGAGGCGCTCACCAACCTGATGAGCGCGTGCCGCAACCATGCGTCTTCTCAAGGCCTCGCACCCGTTGGTCTCGTGGATGCGGCCGCATCTCATGTTGCTATGGCCATTGTCGAGACTATCAAGCTCGTCAAGATCCGCAAGACTGAGGACTCGATTACTGACTTGTCGCAGGAACAGGACAAGGAGAGCTACTCGTTCGACCCCCAGACTGTCACAGGCCTCAAGCCGCTGCACATGAGCAGCCGGGCGCCATCAATTTCTGGCTCCAGTGCGCCGTCGGCACGCCGGCGGCCGCCTCCTCCGCTGAGCGTCGGTGGGACACGCTCCGTGTCTGACCGCGATGGCACTGGAGCTCTTGCTTCCAACGGTGCGGACAGCACCGCCGCCAACATTTCCCACAATGCGTCCGGGGACATTGACACAGTGCTTGCCCACCGCCAACGGAATCCCTCAATAAGCCGCTACTTGCCGATGAACTACGTCAACGGCGTGAACGGGCCGGCACCAGAGTGGGATGGCCCGCATGCGGAGCAGAGCCAGCGCCGCCCAAGCATCGGTGCACAGCAGTCTCCTGTGCGTCAGGCAAGCAGGTCTGAGGCGGCGCCGATTCTGCCGCCGCGCACGCCCGAGACGGCGCACTACCGTACGACGAGTCGCTCGGCCAGCGGTGTGTCTGTCGTGCAACATGCGCCTGGCAGCGGTGGCACCGCGTTAACACGCACCATGTCTGCATCGTCATTTGGCGCGGCCACAGAGCCAGTGCCCCCTTCGACTGCTCCGACGACTGAGGCCGATGGATTCACAGAGACTGGTGAGAACTGGGCCGAGTTGCGCAACTACATTGAGGTGCAGACCGAGGCTATCGTGCATTCGATCCAGTCGCTCCTGTCGGCTCTCCGCGAGGGCGCGCAGGGTGTGCAGCTGAACGAGAATCTCACACAGATCACCACGATCGTGTCATCTATCGTTGCGATCTCACAAGATCACCTTCCTCGCTCTACTTCACCAAGACACGGTGCTATTGCGCAGCAAGCAGAGCGCATCTTTGCCGATCTCAGTCAGAACTGCGACCGGCTTATTGACATGCAGTCGAACTCTAGCTACGACCGGACCACGAAGAGTGTCATGGCCAGTGCAAGCTATGGTGTTGCCAAGGGTCTTAAGGCACTTAATGAGCTGCTGAATGACGTCGATGAGGCTGACAACGCTTGAATTTGGCAAATGACTTTCCCTCTCTCGGGGTGTTTTTAGGACATTCACCCCACATCTAATCTCACCTGGTATCCCTCATTTCGCTTCTATAGTGGCTAATTGATTGCATGATTAGTCCTGAATTGCTGCGCATGCAAGCGCACCTGCAGAATATGCGCACGTCACGTTCCGAGAAGGTTAACCGGCTCCTAAATTACCCGGGCCGGTCCGGGATTCTTAATGCGACCGGTAAATCTTTGACCTATTAGGTATAGTTTCACCTGCCAAGAATTGACGCGTAGTCATTCTTCCGAACGCGCTGCAAGATGCGGTTTATCGTAATCTTCCCCGAGTCTACTTAACTGCGCACACTACAAACTTTTACCTTCCTAACTTTCTGACAATGAGTGGCCAGAAGAACAACAAGCCCAAGGTTAAGGCATCGACCCATCTCATTGCTGGTGGTATTGCCGGTCTCTCGGAGGCCCTTACCTGCCACCGTATGTGTTTTACATGCTAACCAGCTCTCGACACAATCAAGGTCCGCATGCAGTTGACGCGTAAGACCCAGGGCGCCAAGTCCCGCGGCTTCTTCTCGACTGGTGTGTACATTTTCCGCAAGGATGGCTTCCTGGGTCTCTACAAGGGTCTCGGTGCCGTCGTTGCTGGTATCGTCCCCAAGATGGCCATCCGTTTCTGGTCGTTCGAGGCCTACAAGAGCGCCCTCGCCGACAAGCAGACTGGTGTCACCAGCGCCCAGGGTGTCTTCCTCGCTGGTCTCGGTGCCGGTACCACCGAGGCTGTTGTTGTCGTGAACCCCATGGAGGTCGTCAAGATCCGTCTGCAGGCCCAGCAGCACTCTATGGCTGACTCGCTCCAGGGTCCCCGCTACCGTAACGCCGCTCACGCTCTCTTCACTATTGTCCGCACTGAGGGTATCATGACTCTTTACCGCGGTGTGGCTCTCACTGCCGCCCGCCAGGCCACCAACCAGGCCGCTAACTTCACGGCATACCAGGAGATCAAGGCCTTCGCACAGCGTGTCCAGAACACCAAGGAGCTCCCCTCGTACGAGACTGCCGCCATTGGTCTTATTTCTGGTGCTCTCGGTCCCTTCTCTAATGCCCCTATTGACACCATCAAGACCCGTATCCAGCGTGCCCCCAAGGTGCCTGGTGAGACTGCATTCAGCCGTGTGATGAAGGTCGCCGGTGAGATGTTCCAGCAGGAGGGTGCTAGCGCATTCTGGAAGGGTATTACCCCCCGTGTTGCTCGTGTGGCCCCTGGTCAGGCCGTTGTCTTCACGATCTACGAAAAGGTGCGCGGCATTCTTGAGCCTCTGCCCCCCAAGCCTGCCGATGCAGTTAAGCAGTAAAGCCAATCTGTAGAAGCACGGCGCAATTGTATAGCAGCAATAAAGTGTCTGATGTCTTTATTCTTTGATATATGCAACATCATCATGCATACGGGAGATTTCAATATTGGCGCACGCGCATCGCGAGGGCTGTGACCTTTTGCTGCGCATATGCGTTATAGCTAATCACCCACGTGACTCTTCAGGAACCCCGCGAATCAGCGTGTCCAGTGCACGGTACCAACAGTCCCAGATCCATCAAGTGAATTGTGCTGGGACACTCCTACGGCCATGAAACAATCGGAACTCCAGCTTCCGATGCAGTCCTTGTCGCTTTCTGACGCGACGGACAGCGCGACAGAAGCAGGTGTTCAGAGTTCGCCTGTGCCTAGTGTGACTGTGTCCAACGCAAACAACTCTCCGCCACAGATCACAATATCCCCAGATACTCCAGCATCAAGCAGGTCCCCTGTCCTTCGCTCGGAGTCACCGGTGGCTCCTAAAAAGTCAAATCTAGAGCCTACGGCAGCACCGTATGAGGCCACGAGCAACATGTACCAGATGCAGCAAATGATGCAGATGCAATCCCCGTACGCTGCCGATATGTCCATGGGGATGGTTGTAATGCCGCCTTTGCAGCCTCCAGCAGATGGCGAGAATGCATGGACGAAGACAATGCCCTATGTGATGCCACCATACGGCGCGTACATGCCACAATATGCGATGCAGTTCCCTCGCCCAAGCGCAGCCCCGCATATGGTGCCTGTCGGTCGCACAGTATACATCGGGAACATACCGCCCAAGACCAGCGCATCGGAGCTCCTGAACATGGTCAAGTTTGGCCCCGTGGAAAGCTTGCGCATGCTTCCAGACAAGAACTGCGCCTTTGTGTCATTCCTCAATGCGCAGGTGGCAGCTGCGTTCCATGCCGATATGACTGTCAAGCGTGTCTCTTTGAATGACCATGAGCTCAAGATCGGCTGGGGCAAGCCCTCAGTGACCCCTCCGGCCGTGCTCATGGCGGTCCAGAACAACAATGCTTCGCGTAATGTGTACATTGGAGGTATTGACGATGATATGACGGAAGACTCCATCCGCCTTGACCTCTCGCACTTTGGTGAGATTGATCAGGTAAAAATTATCCGCGAAACCAAGGTGTGTTTCGTGCACTTTTTGTCTATTCAGTCTGCTATGGCAGTGGTGTCCTCGTTGACTCTCGAACCAAAGTGGAAAGGAAAGCGTGTAAACTATGGAAAAGACCGTTGCTCCTATGTACCCAAAGGGCAGCAGCAGATTCAAGCTCACAACAATCAAGCCGCAGCACTCGGCCTTGCAGCAGCTACATGGCTTGGATACCCGACCGGTTATTCGGGCTTTAGTTCGAACAGCCCAGCTGGCGTGGCCTTTTCGTCATTTATGGCCGGAAACGAAAGTGGGTCTGCCTCTGAGCCGGTGGCTGAGCAGATTCATTCGAACAAGGTCAAGAATCCTGATCCGCAGTACCACCAATTTGGAAACCGGACAGTGTACCTTGGTAACCTGCATCCAAACACCACCACAGAGGAGATTTGCAACCATGTTCGGGGCGGTATCCTCGAAAGCATAAAATACCTGCCGAACAGGCACATTGCATTTGTCACATTTATCGACCACAACACGGCATTGACGTTCTATCATCTCGCGACCTATTCGGGAATGACTATTAATGGTCGCAGGCTACGAATTGGATGGGGCAGACCATCCGGCCGACTGAACCCTGCTATTGCGCTTGCTGTACAGGCTGGTGCGTCGCGAAACCTCTATCTGGGTAACATTGACGATCCAGAACTTCTTCAAGAAGACCGCATTCGTCGCGAGTTCTCTGTGTTTGGAGAGCTCGAAATGGTGAATACGCTGCGGGAGAAGAACTGCGCATTCGCGAACTTTACCAACATTCAGTCTGCAATCAAGTGCAACGAAGCAATGAAGCATCACAAGGACTACTCAAAGGTAAAGATTTCCTTTGGAAAGGACCGCTGTGGAAATCTTCCGCGGGGCCTCAACCGCTTCCATGCGAACTGGTCTAGCGCGAAGGAGCGCGCCAACGAGAATGGATAGTGAACTCTTTTTTTTTTTAGCTGCATACGTTCTGGCAGCTTCATTTAATTAATTAGCTGTATATTGACAACAACTACTTTTCACTATGTTTACAGTGCGAGAACTTTATACAATGTGTGATGATGTTATAAGGCCGGTGAGGTAGTGATTTTTTTTCACAAGTACCTTGTGTAGGCAAGTTGATAACAGCTGAACAAGCAGCTCCCAGTTAGTACAACGGTTAGTATATGACGCTCTCATCGCCTCCTCCAAGGAGTTGATCCGTCAAGACCCGGGTTCGACTCCCGGATTGGGAACTTTTTTTGGCCCGAAACAACACATTCTATTTGGAATGATACTTGCAGATCCCCGTGGTGCTTGCGTGCTGCTCCGCGCGAACATGTTGTTTCTGCTTTTTTTTGTACGCATGTTTTTTGTACAATACAAATATATCGTCTCTATGCAGGGAGCTCGAACCTCTTGCCCTTCACCACCTTGTTGAAGTAGATGTAGAAAAAGTCAAGGTACAGACCGGTCTGCACCAGTCCTGCGAAAAACGCGATTGCATCGAAGGGATGCTTGCTTCCAAAAAAGAAGCTGGTTAGCAATGGTGACGTACCGATAGATCCAGTTGAGAATGTAGAGAGCACGGTAGGCACCAAGAGCAAAGATATAATGGGTCGTAATAGTGTCCGCCTCGCCCAAGCGCTGGATGAGGAACATTTGCGGCAGGATGGCAATAGCTTCCAAAAAGATACTGAAAGACCACAGGATTTCAACGAGCGTGAACTTGAAGTGGAACAGCAACGCAAGCACGGCTGGTATGGCGAGCATAGCATCCAAGCGAAGGGTGTCGAGTGGGATTTCCTGGCGCGGCTTGAACTTCACCTTCATCAGGTAGATCACATATAAGCTGCTTCCGATGAAGAAGAGCTTCATCACAATGAGGTATAGTGTCAGTGGCCGGAACAGGTTAATGTACCGCGTAATGAAGACAATCGCATAAAGCAGCTGCGTCTTGAACGAAATACCTTGTTAGACGATATATACACACCTCTGCATGACCGGTTAGTGTGGATGCTGTGGATGAGGAGTCCAATGGACGCGAGATGCGACAAGTCGCCAAGGAACCTAAAGATGTTCATTGTTGGCTAGCGCGTTTAGCGTGTTCGTGACGAGAGATCCCCACGTGGAATCACGTGTAATATCGGCACTGACATAACCCCGCACTAGCGCGGAGTTATCCAACCTTTCTTCGCACTATGATCAAGACACAACTCACTGAGAAACTCGGCCTCCGTGTGCCGCTCGTAATGGGCGGTATGCAGTGGGTCGGCACCCCCCAGCTTGCTGTCAAGGTGACAAACGCAGGTGCACTTGGTCTTGTGACTGCCCTGACGCAGCCTACCCCGGAAGACCTCAAGAAGGCGCTCATTGAGGCTCAGAAGCAGGTCTACCCGGACATTGCCGCCGAGCGCAAGGACAAGTTCGGCTCGCTTGGTGTGAACATTACCCTTCTCCCTGCTATTACTCCCCCAGACTACCCTGCGTATGCCCGTGCGGCCCTTGATGCTGGCATTCGCATTTTCGAGACTGCCGGTAACAACCCCGGTCCAGTGATCAAGATCCTCAAGGACGCCGGTGCCTTTGTTATTCACAAGTGTACTACCGTCCAGCACGGTCTCAAGGCTGCCTCGCTTGGTGCCGACATGCTCAGCATTGACGGCTTCGAGTGCGCTGGCCACCCCGGTGAGCAGGACATCGGTGGTCTTGTTCTCCTTGCGCTTGCCGCCGAGAAGATCAGCATCCCCTTCATCGCCTCTGGTGGTATTGCCAACGGCCGTGGTCTCGCTGCCGCCCTTGTTCTTGGCGCACAGGGCGCCAACATGGGCACGCGCTTCATGGCCACTGCCGAGGCTGAAGTGCACGACAACATCAAGAACGTCATGGTGGAGAAGTCGGAGACGAACACCATTCACATTCTCCGTTCGTTCCGCAACACTGCCCGCGTCTACCGTTCGCCCCTTACCGAGGAGGTTGTCGAGATGGAGAAGCGTGGTGCCGCTATTGATGAGATTCTCCCGCTCGTCTCCGGCAAGCGCGGTAAGCAGGTATACGAGACCGGTGACCCCAACCTTGGTGTCTGGACCACCGGTGTCTCCATTGGTCTGATCCATGACATTCCTACTGTGCGCGAGATTGTCACGCGCATTGAGCGTGAGGCCGAGGAGTACCTCCAGAAGGGCAGTGCACTCGTCGTGCCCAAGTCTCGTCTGTAAGTTATATTAGTAAATTGCGAATACATTTTATAACATTACACCATGACAGATGGCCTCGGTGCGCTTGTCGCCCTCGGCGTTGCAATGGCCGTGGGCACATTCGTCACAGGATGTCTTCCGCTGTTCATTAGTCTCTCTAGAAGAGGGCTGCGCCGTCTCGAGTTATGGGGATCAGGACTGCTGATTGGTGCGGCACTTACAATTGTTATCCCAGAAGGCATCGCGAGTGTATATGGCAGCCACCGCAATGACGGTGCACTCAATGGCGACTCTGAGCCGATCATCAACCATCCGGATATCATTGCAGCCTGTCTGCTTGGCGGCTTCATGCTCATGTTTATGATTGACAAGTACTCGGCGTCCCACACTTCGCCGCCCCATTTGCAAGGAGGCGAGTTGCAGACTCTCTCTGGTGGACACCACGGCACAGCCACAGAAATGACATCAGAGATCCGGGCAATGCTCTCGAGCATGCTTGGATTGCTTATCCATGCGGCTGCGGACGGCATTGCGATGGGTGCATCTTCGCGCAGCGTGGAAAAGTCGCTCCGCCTCGTTGTTGCATTGGCAATTATGGTCCACAAGGCACCTACTTCTATCGGCCTATGCACACTCCTAATGGCTGAGCAGTATTCCAAGCGTGCGATCCGAGCTGGGATTTTTGTCTTTAGCCTTGCGACGCCACTGAGTGCATTGCTGACATATTTCATCATCCGCCTGATCTCCCCGGATGCCGGCGATGGTTCTACCGACAGTGGATCCAGACACGACATCGGTGCGATCCTCACGTTTTCCGGTGGCACTTTCCTTTTCGTCGCCATGCATGCTGTACAGCACCTCTCTCGCCCCCCGCCTGCACGGGAGCACACCCCTTCTTCTCCGGAGCACCACCATGCCCACCACCCCCTTGACCATGACCACCCGATTCATACGGATCACGAGGTGCAGGCGCCGGCCGCACCGCTTCCAGAGCACGAAACGTTCAGTACATGGGAATGTATTCTACTCGTGTCTCTTGGCACTGTCACTCCAAAGTTGCTGCAGACCTTGTTTGGTGCAGGACATGATCACCATTGATGTATGATAGATTTTTTGGCATATACAGTTGTGACGAGTATAATCAACCAACCTGTGAATAGTTCGCACGGACACACCTGTTGCGCGCGCATGCACGCACGCACCAAACATGTGTCACGGTAAATTTAGCATAATTTGATAATTGTGCAATTTAACATATCTCACTATTAAGGGGCGGCGCGTGCGTCTGCACTGCCATGTCGTCGCCGCCAAGGTACCGCGCGCCAGATATATCTTCCTCTTCTCCCGAACCGGCAAACTTTTTGTCATCCCCACCCTCTAGCCCCACATACGAAAGGTCCACGTCGAATTCATCAACTTCTTTTTCTACTGACCCATTTTCTGGCTCCGTCAAGGCCAGCTCGCTCAGTTTACGTTCATTCTCCAACTCACGCCGCGCCATTAGCGCATCAAACACGGGATATGATGGACCACCGATTGAAAGTCTTTCACTCATGCCGCCGCCTTCAGGGCTGGCTCCTGCGGCTCCGATCGATATGAATCGCAACCAGGTTTTATCTCAGTTCTTCGAGTCTTCGTCAGATGACGCGCTCACGAGCTCCGAGGACATGGCACCTTCGTATGACAACTGGCCAAAGCAAGAAAATATGCACAAGCGTGAATTTGCACGGACAGAATCGGCTCATGCTGATCCACTCAGCGCGCTTGGCCCTCGGTTGCTGCGCACAGATAGCGAGTCCGGCAGCCAACGTGCGCCGCGTCGCATCCGATTCACCGGCACATCTCCAAAAAAGCTCACTCGACGACGGGCGGAAGTTCTCGAGGACTGGGAGCAGCAGGAAGAGTCGAGCACGTCTTGGATGCGGCAGGACGAGCTTCGATGGCTTGCGATTGTGAACCGTGTATTCGATGAAGCAAAAGAGAATCCCGCTATCCTGCTTGGCGGATGCCATGTCCAGCACATCCCATCACTTGTGGGAGACTTGCGGAACTATGTCGCCATCGCGCCGCGACGCGCCGAGTTTCCATCCAGGTCGCTCAGCTTTGGCAGCAGCCGGAGTGCTCGTCGTGATGGACACAGCAAGCTGCAGTTTTACCTTTGGGATAATCTGCTGACTCGTCTCCCAAGTGCACTGTTTCAAGTGAACAATCTGAGTGTGCTGTCACTCCGGAAAAACAATCTCACGAGCCTTCCTCATGCGATCGGAGAGCTGCACAACCTCCGAGAGCTCAACGTCGGTGGAAACAAATTGCGCTATCTGCCTGCGGAGATACAGCGGCTGCGACTCGAAACATTTACCTTTGCGCCAAACCCATTCCTGGAGCCCGAGGGCACACTTGAGCTTCGCGAGCCATACGGGCGTGCGAACGATACGGACGCCATGCCTCCGCCGCCGCTCCCTCGCCGCGTTAGTTGGGGGCGCACCACGTCTGAAGCAGCGATCAGGGACCGTGATGACTCGCGTATTGCACGTGTGCTTGGACCACTCGAGCGCCGTGGATTCCCGTCACTAATTGAACTGTGCATTCGCCGACTGCTCAGTGTCGATGCCGACGACCCAAGTGCGATCATCCTGGATCAGTACGAAACAGGCTGTCTGGCGAGCCTCCGGTACGACATGAATGCTCGTGTTGTCTACCAACTCGAAGCTGCGCGTCGCAGCGCTTCCCACGCCTGGGGCTCGCGATCTACAGTAGCCCCGAGCGCGCGTGCTGAAAGTGCGCGTAAAGCATGGTTCGCTGGTGCACACTTTCGTGGTGACGCCGAGTGGCCACCTGCGCCAGTTTCTGCCCTGGATTTAGAGGAGTCATTGGAGCACTATGACGATGCCTGCGAGAATGTGTGGTTCAACAGATCACCAGCGTCTATCAGTGGCGCTAGCGACTGGCCGGCGCGTATCGCGCCAAGCGGGGTATTTGTACATCCTCAAGAACAGCGGATGGAGTGGGTCTCGCACGTCGCGGGCATTTTTGTTGCGAAGCCGGGCACGATCGAGGAG